AACAATTATTATGAAATAAAGAGAGGGGGTCCCATACTCTCGGCATTTTTTATTTTTACATACATCTGATCAAAACTGTAATATATAACTAAAGTGAATTATTTTTCTATGAAATGAATTTTTATTTGAAGAATTAGTATTACATCATTCTTAATATATGTGAATTGAATAACGATGTTCTGATTTTGTATAAGTTTCACCGGTATTTAAATCATAATAATAATCTTTATTATCATCAGAAAAACCACAGAAGCTCTCATCGTCCTTATCATCATCTTCGTTGTTGTTATCAGAGAAATCTTCATCATTGTAATCATAGTTGAAATCTTCATCATCAGGTATACTCACCTGTATCTTGACTTCTGATGAATCGAAATCTCGATCATTACTTAACTCATCTCCCGAATTAGAAATGTAAGACAATAGGATAGAGAAAGTGATTGTAGTAGTTATCTTTGTTTCCGAAAATTCGGAATCTTTATTTTCTTTTTTGCAAGAAATTTGCTAATCACTTCCTGAACTCGGTTCAGAGAATTCAGATTTTAGAGTAGGTTTTATCTTAATACTATAATCAAATGGTATGTTATCTATAATATATTGAATATCTTTGTTTGTCATTTTTGAGATACTATCAGCGGAAAAGGAATGTATTTGATAAATTTTATCTATACCTATTGCACTGAAAAGTTTGTAGAGCTTTTTAGCCTTTTCGATTCTCTTTTATAAAAGTGTGTCAGAGATATTTGCAGGGAGCTAAGCACAAACTTCTTTATTTAAAATTCTACTAACTGTATTAGATTCTGGATCAACTTGTTTTTCTGATACTAATTCATTACGTCTTTGAATGAGAGTTTTACCAAAATTACAATAACATAAGATTGCTTTTTGGGTTTTATGATCAGTGAGAATTATAGCATTACAAAGTTTTTTGTTTAAAAATGTGAAGCTATTATTGCTGGGTTGAGATTTGTTTCATTCAGAGTTGTAGGTATCATATCATTGTTTGCATTACTATTACTAATAGATGAGCTAGAGTTTTTAGAAACTTCTGCCATGAATTTCTGTACTTTATTTTTACTAGATTGTGAAATATCTTTATTATATGATAAAGGATCTTGAGATCCAAGCTTCTTTTTTCTATTTTTCTCTCTTATTATATTACTAACCCTTTCTTTTTCTTTTAGGTATAGAAATTCATCAATCACTTTATCCTCTGAAGATTTGTTTTCTATACGAATTGGTGATGTGGAGCATTGACATGAACCAGCCTCCAGCTGAGTCATTGTCTCTTGATATACGTTGGAATTTGAAGTATCATCAGTTATATCAAATATGGGGGTATCTTCATGATTATGATTTGTTTCAGGGGTATAGAAGAATGGTTATCCTTTACTTGGTATATATCAGAATCAGATGTTCGATACTCTGCATTATCAGATGCATTATCAGTATATCCATTGCCCCTGTTTTGTAAGCTCTGCTCCTTAATTAGTGAGACATCATGTTTTAGTTTAGCAATAAGGTCAGTTTTTCTTTATCTCTCTGCTCCAGATTCAAGAATCTGGCTTTAACCTCTTCTTTGTCTTGTTTTAATTTTGCATTCTCAGCTTCAACTTTGATATTCTTAGCTTCAAGCTCAGCATACTTTTTTCTAAGTTCACTAATCTCAACTATAAGTTTGGTATTTAATTCTCTTAGTGAAACAATTGTATATTGTGTGTCTGCTATTGTTTTATATAAGGTGCAGACATATTTAATTCTTTATTGTAGGGATATAAATCACGTGATAAAAATCCCTGAACTAAGTTTAGGAAGTATAAAAATTCTCGATAACGTATACCCAATGATATTAATGTATCCAGATTAATCTCAAAAATACACTTGTATAAATGATAAAATAAATTCACAAAATATATATGCAAAAGTAAACATGATTATATATACGAAAAAATCAGGCCACCAGGGCCAACTTTATTGATATAGAAATAAAAATAGATACAAGATAGAAATTCAAGATGTAGATATATTCTAGAAATCTGTGCTTTTTTTCTTGTTTAATCTTTTAGTACTATGAGAAGAAGAGTCTACATTACCCTCTTCCCTCGATATTTTTTGAAAACTGTTCATAATACTCTGCAAATTTACAATAACCTATTCTGAGATCGTAGATTTTCTTTATATTAGTAGCATTATATGACAAATGTATATTTCAGAAATTTACTTAGAATAGTTATAAGAATACTCACTCACAAAGTCAATAGAGTGTGAACAAATTTATTTACTTCCTCAAATGATTCGTTATCCAAGGGTATTTTTGCTTTAACGACCGGTAGATAATACTTTATCCCACTTTCTTTTATCAGTCCATAGATTTTAAGATACTTACCTGCAATATTGACACCAAATCCTATATAGTTTTGATGGAAGACCTCTTTTGTGCATTTTTTCACAAGCTCTTTAGAACCATCTAAACAAAGCTGTACCAATTTATTATGATTATGGTAAATTTTATCTTCATCAAAATCCTACTTTCCACTTTCAAAAAACACAATTTCTTTCCATTTTTGACAAAGATAAGCACGAAACATGAGATCTGGTTTATTACCTCTTGATTCCTTTTTTTGCTGAACTTTTTGATTTTTACTAGCTATGCTCTGATATTCAGACCTTGTAACCTTTACATCATAATCTACGGGCAAAATGGCTATATCTATTAAATGAGCTATAATTTCTACTAATGTATTTTCTGACCCCAGAAACTCTCTGAAGGGCATTCAACTTGATTTCCTGCAAAAGAACATCAGTAACCCCTTTTGCTATGCACTCTTTAATATAATTATCTTCTACCCATTGGTCATGTATTACTGCATCTTTTGATCGCAATACAATTTACGCAAAATTTTAATTTTATTTCTCTTTGATATAAAATCATTATATATATTCTATACTACAGCATCTTTACTCAAGTTTCTTATATTAGCCTTTGTTCACTATTAATATTAATTTATATAAAGTAATAATCTAAAATACAGGATCTTATTAGAAAGCCCTTTGTCTGACGAGAAAGTAATTACCAGCCTCGTGCTTAATAGCGGATCTATATTGTAAAGAATTTTAAAGTTAATAAAAACAGGATTTCTTAACATGAGGTTGCTTTTTCACATGCTCTTTGATGCAAAGATAACATCCGTAGAACATAAATACCAAATAAAACTATATCTTGAAGAATCGATATATGAATGCAAACTCTTATAAATATTTGCATATTTGAATATTTGACAAAATTTCAGAATTTTTGTCAAAATTTTGATTACGTACAAATATTTGATTTATTTAACACAATAACAACCCAAATATAGTATTTATGGCTGAAATATCCAATGTTAAAAAAGGAAATAAGCGTTCAAGTCCTTTCCAGGATACGATAATTAAAATGTGGGTTCTCCTTGAGGGTCACCCAAGTCCTCGTAAATTGAAAGCTAACTTATTACAAGTTTCTGACTTGGAAGATTTTAAAGATATTCTTAAAGAAAAAATTCAAGTGTTAAAAAATATCGAACCAGATGATATTGTGTTCTTAAACCATAACGATCACAATACACTTATTTCACTAGACACTCCCTTAAACCTCTGGCAAAGAATACAATGGTTATAAAGCCACTCATTGTATGCTATCCGATATCAAATTCGAGCAGTAAATATAAAATTTTTTTTTTCTGCTTATATGAAAAACTGCACTAATTGCTAAATTTATTTGCAGTCTTAATAAATTTTAGATTTTTGTGTAATACCAGTAAATGCTGAATACCTTATTCTAGTGGGGCCTGGGATTTGCTTCGAAAAAAAGCCAAGAAATTATTTGAACTACTTTCAACAGCTAAAATTATCTTTATTGTTACGAGAAATTCTAATGTTCAAAGCAACTTAGAAGAAAAAATCGAGGACGAATACTTATTTATAAATTTATTGACCTGAACAAGACCAAACGAATCAAATGAACGTATTTTAGATTTTAAAATACAAATCAAAGGAAAAAAGGCGTTTGGTGATTGGACTTTAAAAGAAGTGGGTAGCGAAATTTATAAAAATACTTTTATCTCTATTGACTCAATGCGGAAATTAAGCTTGGAAGATTTTCCTGAATTGAATCTGTCATTTAGTGACAACGAAATTGCATACTTTATTAAACAACTTGAGGACAAGGCATTCGCATTTAATAATAAAATTAGCACAAATGAAGCTACAGTATGGGAATATATATCAATTTTTATGACTATTGCTGTGAAACATATTCGAAAATATATAGATTCGATAGCAGAATTAAATGTGGAGCCTGAACTTGATGGGTCTCGAGGTTATGGCAATTTGAACTATGAAGTTGTTGTACAGGATGTTCCGGTATTGATTAATGAGGCCAAAAACAAGACATGGAAAAGAGAGTTGCTCAAAATTTGGTACAAGTATATACTGCAGCTAAGGTAAGATCCCAAAGTAATTGACTTTAATTATTTTTAGAGATTTAACTTATAAAATTAATGTCAGATCTTGTTAGACATTGTTAAGAAAACAAAAACATGAAAAAGTGGATTCTTTACCTCCTATGATGTTTGGTATAGTAACAATAGGATATATATGGCGATTCATCTGTTAGTCCAGTATACTGCAAGATCCAAGAGCCAAAATTACTCCTAAAATTGTTTGTAACTGTATTGGTAATAATTATCAAGAAGCAAAAAATGTGGTATCATATATTGCACGTTTATTACAAGTTCAATCGGATATATTAAAAAATGACAATAATCAGGATAAAGAAAGAGATAATAAACATTATAAATTTGGTTAATATAATAATTTTACAATTTATAGCATTCTTTGGATAGTAAATTCTTCCCAGAGATTAATAATAAACCATTTTACCATTTGCAACAATGGTTTATAAATTTCTTACACTTAATCATTTTAATTTGATCATATATTTATGAATGCATATACAGGCATTAAATTTATCCACTGAAGATATGTTACTTTTTAAAGTAATTTTTCTTTATATGCGAGTGTGTTATTCTAATTTATTGTTTATAAAGATAATTACATGGAAATTATTATACGATCATCAATATGTGGCGCAGTAGTCATGTGACCTCGAGGCCACAGACGCAAAGGTTTTATTTTTGATAGATCTGTGGTTACATTTTTGATAGGCACAGATTATACCCTAAATTTAGATAGCGTTCTTGATGTATCATATCCCATAAAATTTAAAATTTTTCAAGAATTTGAGTAAAGATATCTAGATGGTCGCCCAACCTAATTCAATA